CAGATGTGAATGAGCAGGCCACCTCTTGCACACTGGCAAGGTGATGCCTGACGGTCTGACGGTGAGGTGCCCAACGGTCTGTCTGTACCTCCATCAGGAGCGAGGGCTCCCTCCTCGACAGGCTCCCCTCCACCTTACTTCGCTGCACAGCCATGGTTATCACAGATCCTCTGCACTATTTCAAGTGAAATCTGTGCAAACTGTGCGTTGTGTGAGAGGGCTGGTTTTGAAACGTTTCAAGTTGTCAGCATCCCTTTAAATAAAATGCTGCTCTTCTCCAGTTCCTGGAGAAATTTGCATCTAACCTGGCATAAAAGGAGGGACTCATACTTGGCATTTATTGTGTCAGATGAGAATCACAAATGACTGGCAAGCTGCAGAGAACCATCCGCTACCACAAAATCTGCCAGCTTCCCCTAAAATGTGCTCGGCTGGCTCAGCCCATAAATATGGCAGCAGATGACAGACCTTTTGCTAAACCAGTGAGTACTTTCTCTGTTCAACTGCTAAAGTAAACGGTTCTGTTTAGGCTATTGCAGACACTTTATTCCTCCTGGCTTCTCAAAACTACAGCCCCAGATTGCTGCTTCCTGCAGAGGGACTGAATGATGGAATAAAACTGGGAGACCAAGTTCGCCATCTCCTGGGCAGAAGGCATAAACTTCCAGAAAAGATTATTTTATGCCAGTCCTTTCTTCCCTTTCATTCTCACTCTTGTTTATTTGTGAAAGACCAAGACCTTAGGTGAAGTCCGGGAAGCTTGCAGGCTTGCAATGCCAACTTTGTGCTACTGCACTCAATCTTCTTCCCGTGACACTGTAAAATCAGATACTGAATTTATGTCACAGCACACTCAGTACAACTTCGTATTATACACCTTGTGTACTTCACCAGTAGAAATGCTGGTGGCAAGACTTGTGCTCAACCCTGGTAAAGAAGCTTTATAGACTGCTGAACAGATGCAGTCACACATTTAAAATGCCAAGGATTGGGTACTCACTACCACACAGGCTCTGCAGAGGACAAACATTACAAAGCAATAGCAGGTGATCTGATTAGATTAGATATTGTCTAGAGGCCTTATTTTTCAGTTATACAAATGGCTTCAAAAACTGATGTCTACCGTGAGGCTCCTAAAGGATGGTAAGTGATTAGTATTTCTAAGAGTTGGATATAACAAGTCTCAATTTCTTTATGTTGATTTGGGAAAATATCTCAGTTCCTTATCTCTAGTTATTAACTCTTCTCTGGGAAGGATGTGTGATTTACTGAGAGTAAATCAGAAATTCAGGACCTTTTGCACACACGTTCTCTCCAGGCCTTGCACACAAATCCCTCTGCTGGAACTGGTGAGGTTTAAYTCGGCGGTCCTACTGCAGCGCCTTCAGGCAGGGGCCACGTGTGTGTGAAACATCAGAGCTGTTGGAAAACGGCGGCTGGATTAAGTGCTCAGGATGGTGTGTAGGGCACAGGGTTGTGCTGGAACGCTGCAGCACTGGGCTRGCGCAATGATGCTCCTGACCTGGTTATTGGCAAATGGTAAACCACCCGGCTATTAAATTATATTGCCTTAATCAAATTACAGACAGGAGATTGCAGTTATTCAATAAACAAGGCTGAGATGTCCCAAATATTGCTAACCTATTTTATTAAAACTAAAAGAGAGAAAATGTAGCAACTGCCTGCAAAACATCTGTTATAAATAGGCAAAATAATGTGAAAGCTAGTTCAGTGACTGTGCGACCTAGTTAAACTTTCTGACTAAGGGGTCAAAAAGTTCTTCAATATTCAACACTACTGGTTTATTACAAGTGTAAGCACCTATTTTAYGTCTCTACAGCTGAGTGAGTGGTTTCTGTTACAGGGTTTGTGAGAAACACTGGTGAAATTGAACTGATTACTTTTATAGGGTTTGCTGCTCTTCTTGATATTATATTCTTCAGCATGTAAACAGGATTAACTCAACTCAAAATAATAAGTAATGAATTTTAAAGTAGCTAAGGAAAGGACACTGGTAAATGTTGTTCATAACACCAAGAACTGACCTTACATTGGGATATTGTGATTTTAAAGAGAGAAGCCCTTTGCTTATCAAGAGATCCAGCACAAATYTGTTACAAAGGAAGTCTGTTTCAGTTCTAATCTGGGCATGGGGTCCAGTATTTATTCTTAAACTCTGTTACAGCTGATAAAGATCAGACACTAAGCAAATCTAAACTGGTATTCATTTTCTTAGTTGAAAACAATTCTAAAATAGTAATTGTTTGAAGTTTAAGAATAGCACTTCAGTTAAAAACAAAACAAAAATCCTAGGTGATAGGTCTAGGAAASCCTGACTTGTGATTTTCACAAACTATAGCCCAAACTTAATGCACTATTGCCACACCGAATTTACAAGAGTCCTGAGAACTCTTTGTTGTGTTCAGAAAGTGTTATGATTCCTAGCTTACCCTCTGATRATTAAAGGCTGCTTCACTCTAAGAAGTTATTCATTCTCTCAGCTCCCAAATCCATGCAATTTTTAGCCTGCAAAACATTTTCTTGAACATCATTGTACTGCTCAAATGAGGAATGTTTTCTTGCAGTTTCTTCTTTGGTAAGAGGAAACAAAGTTACTTTTTGCAAACAATATTTAGAATGTAACATTTTAAGTGCCTTTTCATTACTTCAATACAGCCAGAGCCAGATCTAGCACCTTGCTGGGAACGTGAAATTACAATTTCAGTTCAACTTGTATACTTGRATTTTACAAATTTCTCACTAAGTGCTTTGCTTAGTGTAACTGWATTGTCACTTGATAAACAGCGCGTGTGTAGGAGTTATTTTTCTACTTTTCAAATAATATTAGAATGAAGATGGACCTTTTGAGCTCTACTTTACAGTGAAACTTTGTATTTTCCTGGGAGAAGTTCAGTCAGGTGATTCACATACTATGACAGCTCTATTTTAATTAATGTTCCTCAAATAGACTTCTTCAGAAATGAACCTCTGTGATAAACCCCTTCACGGGAACCGCGTGTAAGTGGAAAAGGGCTATGAGGATGCTGTACTCTGGCGTGCTGACAATAGTGCTCATTATGCTTTCCCTTGCACAGAACTGAATTTCAGTTTCCYGTAAGGGAAAAATAGAAAGCTGGGAGAAAACTGAGCTAAAGGGACAAAGTTGACACAGGAACAAGATGGTAATAAAATAACACTAACTACATTTAGGCTAGCCTACCAACTAACATCAAAATCTGGAAGGGGGATAAAAACCAACTGATCTTAAGACAGCAATCATTCTACTGAAAAGCTAACTCGTGAGTGCCTTCACTGGCAGGCAGATTATTCTATGTTTAATCGTCTCTTTAAATAGCTTTTAAGAGCACTTAATGAGGTACTCTTCCTGGTYGGGTACTGACAGTCCCTCTGAGTCTCTCATGTTTTATACATCTTTTTCTGAGGAGTAGGTCTTGCTTCTTGTTCTGGCAAAGGCGATAAGAGCCACTAAGAAAATGATTCACGCTTTAGGGGAAGAWTTGAAAGAAGGCTCTTACAGCCTCCTAAATCTTGGACTAGAGAATACCTGTATCTTCATGTGGAATGACTTGATACCACTTGAAAGCATTAGATGTTCCCTATGTCTCTGATCTAGTGGGCAGTCTTCTTTATCACTACAACCTCTCCATGATAGTTGTCTGCAGCTAGGGCCACATTGGTACTGCAACAGCCTCTTCAGTTCCAAGCTTTTCTACTCCCTACAGAGTAGCATAGGATTATTTACCTAGTTTGCTTGGTCCATCATCCACTTGAAGAAAAGTGAAGTAATGCACYATAGTTACATACTTTTTACTCAGTGGGTGATGAAGCCCTATTCTATAGTTGTACAGAGTTTTCATACAAATCCATCATACCACTATCAGTTATTCATTTAATTAGGCATTACATTTGGACCACAATTTCAAGATTTGCTTCAAAGATTTCCTCTACATATTGACTTCCTTAGCTTCTCTAATAGCACAAATGCTTTGTTATGCATTATTCGCCTCCTCATTGATTCCTACTTCTTAAATAAACAGCACAATATAAACTATTTGATTTTTTTTTTTTTTTAAGGCTAGGCTGTAAAGGTGAAAAAATGTCTCAAACTGAAGAATTGTTACAGATATTTTCCATAACTTGAATCTTATGTAACAGATTCCTGAATATTCATCTTCTCATTTTACATTTCCCTATTAAATATAAACTTTACTCACTTATCTTGAAGACTCTACTAAGTGYTACAATCTTAGCTCTAAGTACCATCCAGCAGGCCTTAACCAAGACGTTCTTATAACTCCAAGTCATATATGTCATCTCAATGTTGTGCAAGCTATGTAATCCCGRTATCTTTTAATCATAGGCTTCACTTACACCTAGGTTCTGGCCTCCATAGGGATGTACAAAATTAATTAGCACAATGCTGTTTATGCACATATCCTGAGTGATTTCGTGATGGCAAACAAAGGTGCGACCATTTCTGTGTGCTAAGGGAGAATCAGATGCTTTATGAAAGACAGGGGGGGCCTCTGCCATAAGTAAAGCAGTGGATATATAGCTTTCTTGTTTGGGGCTTTACAGAAGCTCATTAGAAAGATGTCTCCATTTCATTCATTCCCCCATTACTACCTCTACCTTTCTACTGCACACTGATGCGTTAAAAGAACAATAGAGGACATCAGCTGTGATTTTGGATGAAACTGGTGCCTCTTCCTGAAGGTGAACTTTTTTACARCACCTTAGTAAACTTCAGTAAATAGAGAGTAGATCTGAGCAGGAAACAAAGGATCCCTCTTGAGAAACAAAACTGAATAACCATCAAACCAGCCTAGAAACAAAACATCATTATAAAACACCAGGTAGCCCAGATTAACATCTTCTAGATGAGAGAAAAGGGAGAGAAAAAAAAAAAGGACTTACAAAATCAATTAGCAATCCATTCTTTTAATTCAATGAAGACTCACACAAACAACAGAATACTGTAGGAAAGTATAGGCACCAATTGCCATAGAAGGGTTTCCTACAGTACAGAAAACAGCCATCAGTTTTTTTTCCTCTCCTAGCCTGCCTTTTCTGCAGCAACGGCAATACAAAGTCCAATACGCCYAAACACAAATGATCTAACCTCCCTTTTTTCTTTTCAAACAGAAGGAGGAAATTACTCGCTGCTTAAGATGTTCAGGGTAGTCATTTTGCAAATGGTGCTATGAAGCTGATCGAAAGAGGGTTCGTTGTAGCAAAATTGCCCCATTTCCAAGCATTATCCTGTAATAACAATCTGCARCACGGCTGTGCTTCGTTAGGAGGGAGAGAGCGCTGCCTCCAGCATATGCCTCAGTACATGCATGTTTCAGAAAGAAGCACCCTCCTTGGCTGCTAATGCTGGAAAGCAGCCCATTAGCCAGGCTGAGCCTTTTAGATCCTAATTTCAGGGCAGGGAGATAGTGCTTGCTTCATTGGCTGCAGCTATTTGCCATTTCCCATTACGACCCTTGTGATTAAGCCAGACTCTGAGCCCTTAAATCCTTCTCTGAAATGGAGAAGAGGTTTTGTTCAGCAACATTAGGAAAACAGTTTTTGGCACCAGACCAAGTGCATGTTTAAGTTTTAGCTTTTCAACAGCTATCTTCATTAACTTAAAAAAGAAATCTCTTTAATTTTGTTAAGACGGAAAGCATAGTGCACTGGACTGCAACTTATCAGAGCTGTAGGTGGAGAATAACTTCCTTCCTGGCAGCTGAAATTCATGCCCACTGCTATTCACTTGTTTGCAACAGCAGAAAGCTGGTCCCGGATCCTTCCCAGACCTTCCAACATAGTGTCCAGGGTTTCTTTACTCAGTTCCACAGTCATTGCAGAAACAACAGGATTATTTCCACATAAGGCAGCGTCTTCCTGAATCTGAAAATAGAATGCAGGTGTTAGTCATATTAAAAAAAAAAAAAAAAAATCCATCCACACTTTTTTTCCACTGTCACTAGGAAAGTCAGTGCTTAAGGGATGGATTGACAAAAGTGTTCCAAATTTGGCATCCAGCTCCATTCTGAAAGACCAGGACATGTTTCCTAAGCTGCCTGCCTCACCAATAACGTACACTCCCAGTGACTGGCTGCAAGGAAGCACATGCAGCAATGAGTTAGGGAGAATTCTGAAGTCTGACAGTAGGAAGCCACATGCCTATCAAAAGTATCTTAGCCAATACCCCATAGGATACTTCAACCCATCACACACACACAAATCTTCCTCCCTCTCTTAAGCACACCTATCAAATTTTATTAATTCAAAAGAACCAAGAATTGCATGGAATATGAGAAGTTTGGTTATGTCCCCCAAATGATAGATATGGCCAGTGAAGAAAGTTATTAATATTCAGAAGCCATTCCGTAACTAGCACAATCTGTTAGTACCTTCAACTGCAGCAGGCAAGTAGGGACTGCCATTCTGCTGATGTTGTCTGAAGAGGTCTTGATGTCCACCCTCCAGTCCATGTCAATCAGGCGAGGCAGGGAGACTGAGGGATTGGAAATGAGGGGTCAATTAGGCTCAGCTTCTCCACTAGCAGAGTTCTGCTGTGAAAGTTGTAGTTTAATAATGAAAACTTCATTCAATTTTTGCCATGCAATAAGCCAATCTGTGAAGACCTCCTCGTGACAATGGAAGGACAAACGAGGTTCTCCTATCATCATACGCAAACATGGTACAGTGCAAGAGAAGAACRATGTCATCTCCACATCTTCATCACTTGCTTTGCCTTCCTGCCTGAGTGTCAGTGTGAGTTGCCCTAGGACTCTCTGTGCTTACTGCTCTGTTCCGTAACCAGGGAAGAAACTCATAGGGATGCACTTAATAGCAAGCAGGTCTGACTTGGCTGCCCCACCACGCAGGCTGCGCAGCCAGCTATCTCTTGTGGACAGAGGTGACAGCGTTCTACTTTGTGATGCTGTGTACTTAATACAACTGACTCCAGAGCAGGCTCTAAGCATCCTACAGACTGGCATAAAAGCTGTGGTCAAGGCTCTTCCAAAACACCTCGACACCAGCAAACCTCACTACAAGTGCTCTCTATCAGCTCCTAGAAGCATACATTTTTCAACAATGTTTTTCACCTTCTAGTGAGAGATAATAAAAAAACATGAAGATACCTGCCACAGTTTCACCTGAGTATTCAGATTGGGGGCATCTGATACCTCGCCAATCTTTGAACAAAAAATAAACTTTCCTACTCCCGAAGAAAATACAGTTTTAACACAGAAAAAGGCAAACTTGCTCCCTCAGCAAGTTTGCTGACGATACCAAACTGGGAGGAGTAGCTGATAGCCCTGAGGGCTGTGCTGCCATCCAGAGGGACCTGGACAGAGTGGACGGTGAGAAACCTCATGAAGTTCAACAAGGGCAAGTGCAGGGTCCTGCACTTAGGGAGGAATAACCCCGGACACCAGTACAGATTAGGGATTGACCTGTTGGAGAGCAGCCCCACAGAGGGACCTCAGCGTCGTGGTGGATGACAAGATGACCATGAGGCAGCAGTGTGCCCTGGTGGCCAAGAAGGCCAATGGGATCCTGGGGTGCATTAAGAAGAGCGTCTCCAGCAGGTCGAGGGAGGTGATCGTCCCCCCCCTATACACAGCCCTGGTGAGGCCACATCTGGAGTACTGCGTCCAGTTCTGGGCTCCCCAGGACAAGAGGGATGTGGAGCTGCTGGAGAGAGTCCAGCACAGGGCTACGAGGATGATCAGGGGCCTGGAACATCTGCCCTATGAGCAAAGGCTGAGAGAGCTGGGCCTGTTCAGCCTGGAGAAGAGGAGGCTGAGGGGGGACCTGATCAGTGTCTATAAATACCTCAAGGGAGGCAGGAGGGGGCGGCCTCTTTTCAGTGGTGGCCAGCGACAGGACTAGACGAAACGGCCACAAGCTGAGGCACCAGAAGTTCCACAGGAACTTGAGAAAACACTTTTTGACAGTGAGGGTGACAGAGCCCTGGAACAGGCTGCCCAGAGAGGTTGTGGAGTCTCCTTCTTTGGAGATCTTTAAAACCCGCCTGGACACAGCCCTGTGCCACGTGCTCTAGGTGACCCTGCGTGAGCRGGGGGGTTGGACTAGATGACCTCTGAGGTCCCTTCCAACCTTAAGCATTCTATGATTCTATGAAAGTATTTATATTCTCATCTCAGATTTACAGGTATTTTCTATTAAAACCCCAACATGAAGAAAGCTTAATTACAACCACAGATATTAAAAGGTAATGCTYGAGCTCCTTACTGCCCAGTGGAAAGATGCATAAAACATTTTAGCACTGGAATCCAGGAATTTTGAAAATGTCTGTAAGAACAAATGTCTTATTTTAAATACATATAAAGAAAAAAATATTGTAAAACACAGCTTAACAGGACATACTTAATGTCACTTTCCGTTTTGAAATTCTTACATTTAAGAAATAGAGCATCAGTTGCACCTTTTGCAACCCAATCTCTTTTAAGAGATGAGCTGCTTTTACAGTGTTTTTACAGGAAGGGCAGCATCCAATTTCCTGGGGACGAGAATAAACCCTCACTAGAAAAATAAGTCCACACCATGGACACAGAAACATTAACAAATCCTTTGCATTTGAGGAAAGGAATTTGCAACATCACACATTTAATTACTTACTCTATGTCAGAACTGATGGCTACAGGCTGCTTAAGGAAATACTGTTCCTGTTTATGTCAGTCGGAGACTTTCAAACAAGTTACAAAAATATAGCTCCAGTCTCAAAAAACATCAATAGAGAGGTGGACATTTACTCTCAGATTCAAATTCAAACCTCAGTTGCATTGCTTGGCAGTTTTGCATCTGCTAGTTTTGAAGATATCATAGTGACTGCATTTGTCAAAGCCTTATCTATAGCAGTTATTTGCTACCTAGTTAAGAATGGAAGAGTGAGGGGAGGATGGTAAAGAACTGCAGACCAAAGCTCAGTGGAGTGCTACGTGCTGTCCCAACRGGCAACTGCAACCCACCTGGATTCTATCTATCATAAGGTGCCTCGCTTCCTTTCCAAGAGCTGATCCCATCTGATAGTTATCCATCCTATTGSCTCTAGATGCTCAGTTGCTGGCTAATGATGCTGACAGAAATTTATTTGGTATCTGGGGAAAGGATCTCCCTCCTCTGCTGTGCAAAACTCCAGCGGGCAAGGCAGAATTGGCTGCCTTGCTCTTGCATTTGGATCAAATTCTGATTTATAGTCCAYGAGGGCCAGCACTTGGCAGCATTTGCAACAACATAAAATGCATCTGTTTAGTCTTGTATGTTAATTTAAAAAATTCATTGCAGATGACTTGGGAGGGGCAGGAAACCATCCACATTTTTATGTTAATATCGATTAATCAATTGGAATGTCTGTTCTTTAAATAATTGTCAGAGCCCCCTATGTAGTATATAGGGCAGATGTTTCATGGATGAAATACTAAAACGCTCCATCATTTCCCAGAAGGCAATCTTATTCCAACAGGGTTAATATTCGCCCAAGGAGGACTAGGACGTGAGTTTCAGGGTAGAGTTCCTGGGTGGTGTTCAAAGAGCCACACATGTGGCCTTCGACYAAGTTAAGACCACCTAGACAGTGCGTCATGTTTGCTGTCATTTCCTCTAAACGCACGATACCATCAGAGACACAGGAGAAAGCCTTACATCTCCTGGTAACACTAGGGCTACGTTTAACATAAGCAACTGCTGAACTGTTTGAGCATTATGTGATAGCTTCCTCCCCCACCCTATCCCTTTGCCATTTATACTCTAGGGATTTTAGAGGGAAAGTGGTTTTGCTAGTCTTTTGTGCCACAGTGTTTCCCCGTTGAGCATTATCTCCTCTGTTGACTACAGAAGAGGCAAAGAGGATCTATGCAGACTTCAAAGTATTCTTTTATGAATTAACTCTGCTATAAGCCCCTAGGTATTACAAGTGTGAAGAAAACCTTCAGAGGAGAGGAAGGAAAAAAAAAAAAAAAAACCACACCAAACCAAACCACCACCACCAACCCAAAGTGGTGTAGCTGCCTGGAATGCTTAACTGGGAATTAAATCACTGCCGATGATGCTACCATTAAAGTTAGCATTGCATAATTAGCTCACACACTAGAAAGGTAATGCATACATACAGTGTACTTCCTGATGGCTGTAGGAAAGAGTACACAGAGCTGTCTAGATGCAMCCAGATGAGATACTCTTTAATACATGCATCACTGACTGACCTCAATCAGGAGGTCAGAGTGCTTCACTTTCAAAATTTGCCAAAAACTTGTTATTTTCACACTGCACTCTGCAATGCAGAAGCAGGCTGAGTATTAAATGAAATTAATTGAGGATTGAAAATAATTTAATATGGCAGTATAGACCTCAGTACCAGCTTGTTGGCCTCTTCTAAGCTCTCTGATGCTACAATCATAGAGCTTCACCTAAGGTATTCGTGGGTATCTCTGTGCTATGCTGCAGCTTGACATGCTGCAATGCATGCTTCTAAACTCAAACCTCTCAAACAATCTCAAGGACATTAGTTGCATGAAAGYAAGAGGTACTACTTACTCTGACTTGCTTGAGCTTCATTTCTCCAAGTAGAACTATAAAAAGAGAAGAAAGAAATAAATGGCGTTAGCAATGCTTAGAAAAGAGAAGTAGGAAAAGCATCTTGGGTGGCTTCTCTTTGATGCAGTGGTCACCGGGGCTGCAGCAGCAAAGGGCAGAGAAACCACCTGTGCTATTGAGTGCTAAGCAAAGGCTGTCACGATAGGGCAAACCGGCAAGCAAAAGTAAATAAATCACCTGTTCGTTCTTCCCTAGGTGCAACTCACTGATGATGYGGACCTTTCTGCCTGGCTTATCAAAGGAACTGGCTACCAAAGAGCAAGACGTACAAGCATCCAGGATGGCTCTGCTCTCAGACAGGCCTCTGCTGCATACAGTTCCTCAGCATCCGAGCCACACGGTAAGTGAATGGGCTGAACAATCACATTTTCCAGTACTGAAATCTAGCCCTCTACATTCTATTCTCAYGTGAAGCATCTCACTGCAGAGATAGTTCTTTAGGATGAGCTGTTGCATTATGTGGATCAGACCCACAGCCTTTCCTAAGGTCTCATAAAAACCTGCACATGCTGCAGCATTTTGCAGGCCACACCACCCAGGGGTTACATTTTGCTTGACTCTCCTCACACCAGCCTTGGTAGCTACGTTCAGGTGTCCAAAGGCTTATGCAAAGCTCCTAGAACTAGCACCCTGCACCTGCCACCCACCAGAACGGCTGCACAGGCTTTACCTTTCCAAAGGAAATCAATCAGTGGGTGGGTGACACTCACACATTCTCCAAGATAATCTTGGTTAAAAGGTTTTTCAGGTTTTGGTGGAAGTTTTCTGGAAAGAGGGCGAGAATGTCTTCCGGCTTTGTCAGGCCCCGGTACACCACGTGCCTGGTGAGGTTGTGCAGGGCAGACACGAGCTGTGAGGAGACAGGAGAGCCCTCGGCAGCGTTAGGAAGCATCACCCCGGACCCGGGATGTGCCCTCGGCGCCGGGGCGGGAGCAGCACAGGCCAAGCGCAGAGCGGCACCTTCCAGCGCAAGGCGCAGCGCTCTCCTTAGGGGCCCTCCTACCGCTCCCGCCTCACCGCGGCCTCCTCAGCGCGCCGAGGCGCCGCACGGGCTCCCGCCGCCCCGCTCCTACCTGCGCGGCCTCCTCGGGAGCGGCGGCGAGGCCGGGGCAGGCGCGGCGGGCCAGCGGGCCGAGGGCGGCGGGCGGGCTGGAGAAGCTCTCCTGGCACAGCTGCCGCACGGCGTCCCGCGACGGCGCCTGTCGGACACCAAAGGCGGAGGCGGAGAGGGCGCTCGGCCGCGCGGGCCGGGCCGCCACCCCCCGCGCCGCGCCGCCCGCGCTCACC